CTTCCCCTCTCTCTACTTGTTCTGCCACCCCACCCTCCTTAGGTCTTCCTCCTCCTCCCCCTAGATTGTTCCTTTCTTAAGTTGCATACTTCAGCCGTCTCTTCCACACCTGTTTCTAAAACCCTCCCTGAGCCTTCGCCTTCCACCCGCCCTACCTTTCCCTGTAGACACGTTCCTGGGCCCCCAGCCTGCCTCCTGGGAATCGCACTGTGATGCGGCGTCACGGGTGGGTCTCTGCGCCCTCCGTGGAGACTGTGCAACACCCCCAGCCCCGTGGGACTGAGGACAGGCTGGGTGGGGGAGAGGTGTGCGGCCCGCCCCTCCCTCTGTCCTGGCTTTGTGCCCGCTGCTTCACCCGCCACCTGTCTCCCTTCACTGGCCACAGCAGCGAAGCCAACGATATGTGTTGGGCTCTTTATCACATATACTTAACGGAATTTTATAATCACTGACCTGAAATTTAAAACCAGTTCGGGTGGCTCTTTTATATTTTTCTCTTGAAGCTACCAGTTCGCTTCACCTTTGGGTGGCGTGGGATTGGTTCCTCCACCCCGCTCGGTGAGTCACAGGGACCTTGACAAGTAGAGTCCTCATTTCTGCAGCTGTGACGTCCCTTAGCTTTTCCATTTCATCAAAGGGTCATTTAATTAACAAAAGGCGCAACCAAGGTGCACGGAAATGCACTTTAAAGTTGTTTACTCCCCCCGAAATATGCCATGTGCTGGTCTTCACTCAACACATCGGAGCATGTTTGTTCTGGCCACTAACGAGCTTTCTGAGTCCATCGGGGGGAAAAAAAGGTGTTAACAGTGGAGTTACCTTTGTGAACTTGCCCCTTTCGTGACCCAAACAGCTACGGAGGCCACTTGGTGTAACGACATCTGGCAGCTGTTCAGGGCTGTCCACACGGGCTTCACGACTTCTGCTTGGTTTAACGTGTTCTGACAGCACATAACAAAGGCCACTCTGCTTTTCTGGAAGAAGCGTGGCCATTTCCAAGTCGGCAGCAGCGACTGGACCCCCCTCACCCGCCCAGCGTGATCCTCAGTGCGGCCTGTGTGTGCGCGCTGGGGAAGCCACTGGTTCAGTCACACCCCCCACCCTCACCCCCCCCCCCCCCCCCACCCCCACAGGCTGCAGGGCGGGAAGGGAGAGTGTGGGGCTGTGAGGTGGGAGGAGGCTGGTGGCCCAGGCTCTGGGCTGGAGGATTTGCATCCATTCTTAGAGACCGCCATTCTGACAGTTTTGCATCTCAGGCAGAAAATACCGGACTTGGGTTGACTGTCCATGTGACCCCACGTCAGCTGGAACCTATGGTCTTAGAGAGTCAAGTGGGCCTGTTTGAAACCCCCATTTCCAGGGCTTAAGAAACCATAAGTCTCCACCCCCAAGATCCCTACAAAGTGCTGACGCTTGTGTGTTCGTGGTCTGGCCCCTTGGACCACATATGTGGTCTCTGCTCCGTTTCTGCATCACTCAGGGAGCAAGGCTCACTTCCTTGCCCGTTTCCACAGGAAATGCACGCACACTGAGCACTGTGCGAGTTTTTTGTAAATTAACTGAGTATGTAGGAGGGTGAGGGGATCACATGACACTCTGATTCACCTCCGACCATTTTGCTGGTTCCACTACATCCCGACCTCCCCCTCCCGTCTCCTGGGCTCCCCCAGGGACAGCCCACAGGCGTCTCTCCTTTGGCATGCAGAGCAGTGCCCCACTGCGCCCCCAGGCTGGCTGATCAGGAGTTTTCACAGCAGGGATAGTCTTTCGGGTTTTATCCTAAGGAGAAATTTTCATAAGAGCTACTTAGTGGAGGGGAAAAGATGCTTCACTTTATCCATCTGTTTGAGTGACCCTCTCCCACATTGCCTAATAATTAATAGCTCACACTTACTGAGTATTCATTAGTTACAGATTCCTGTGCTGAGCAGATACATTAAGACTCACAGCCACTAATAACTCAGAGAAGCTAAAACACTTGGCCGACTCAGAATGTGACAGGGCTGGGATTTGAACCCAGAGCACTTCAAGTAGGAGCCCTTTTGCTGCACTGCATACACAACCAAAATGGCAGCGCCCACTGAGGCACAGCAGTGCCCGGACAGCGGGACAGCCTCGAGCTAAACCATGGAGGACTTTTCCTATTGATGAGAATCATGTCCAAGCCCCACAGGCTCACTGGGAACACTTGCCTCCCCCCTCCCTTCTCCTGTTCCCTGTGGCTGGATTCTGTGTGACATCCGAGGCTGTGGGGAAAGCCCTGATGATCCTTGGCAGCTCATACACCACATCTGCCCACGTGTCACCCGGCTGAATGTCACCCAGCTGTTCCCGATGCCAGCTCACAAATTAGGGAACTCGAGTGAAAGGGCGGCTCTGACTGAGGACTGGAAGGACCCTGCAAACTTCCCCAGCCCTCGGGGCATTACGGGACAGTGGGCTGGAAAATCAGATGCAGAAAAGTGTCCCAAATAGGGGAGTCTCATTTGAGGCACAGTAGAACCTGTTAGCTTGAGAAATTGGTCTGGAAATCATATTAAAAGAGACAAATCACCCTGCCTTGTCTCCAGACTGAACATATCGGGAGTGACGGGCTTTCCTTGATGCCTTGGACCCCTGTCCCTGAGGTCAGGATCACAGCCAACCTCTGGCCAGGCTGAATTCAGTGCTGGCGATAAAGGCAATTATTATTTTTTAAATGGGCAGTTCTGATGAATGCCGATTTCTCTGGCCAGCCACAGACATATCAGTACTAGTCCCTCATTACCGGGAAGTGTGCAAGGCAGAAGAGCCAATGGCAAAGAGAAATGAAGGTCAAGTTGTGGACTTGTCATTACCACACAGGTCAGCAGATGACGGTCCAGCCTCGGAGGCCCCTGTGACCAGCCGCACACACACACACACACACACACACACACACATACACACATATTAGTGTGCTCAATGAACCCCCTTTGGAGGTGCCAGGAAGGCAAGCACCACGGCATTATGCAACTCAACCTTGCGCATCTTTCCTATTTGAGATGGGCGATAATAAGAATCCTTTCGCTTTAAGATGTTAGGTATTATCATAATTGTTGTTACTTTTGTTGAGCGGTTCGATAATAGCATGAATCACTGGGACTCGGTGGCACTGTGGGCTCAAGGGCTTTGTTCACACGCATCGTCCCCTTTGTCCCCAGAACAAGCCAATGGTGCCGGGGCTAGCCAGCTTTCTCTGTGAAGGGCAAGACTGGAAATAGTTTACGTTTTTCAGGTTATGTGGTGTCTTCGCAGCTATTCAGCCTGTGGCTGTAGCTCGAAAGCAAGCACAGACAGTACATAAACGGATAAGTACAGCGGCATGTCAATAAAACTTTACTTCCAGAGCCAGGTGCTGGCCGGGTGTGGCCTGGGGCCGTAGTTCGAGCAACGTTATCCCTGAGCCAGAACTTGGGTTCCGCGGTGAGGAAGGTGGGAGACAGTTGCTCTTCTCTTCTCTCTCCTGGCTTTTCCATCCTGGTTCGAACTAGTTCTAAAGGAGGGATAGCATCAAAGACACTTTCGCATGTGACTGCCCAGGGTGAGGTGGCTGTTCTCTCTCCACAAAAGGGACCCTGATCGCTTTCATGAAAATCCTGCATCCATGGCGGCTGTGGGGAGACCACTGAATCTCTGTGGCTCGCCCCTGACAATCTAACTCCGAGTCTGCAAGCTCAGTGTCAGCTGCGGCAGACCCCACCAAGGAAGGAATTGACCCCCAAGCTGACCTCGGAAGCCTCAGCTCTGCCCTCTGGAGGGTCTTCCTACCACGTGGCCTTTTTGTCCATGCCAGGGGGTCCCCAACAAGCTTGCAGCCCCAGGCTTAGCTCTCTTCTGTGCCTCAGTGCTGAGGCCTGCAGACCTGGACAGGGTCCATCTCCATGCCCCTTGGGGGCCAGGAATTCGAGGAAGCTCTTTTGCCCTTCTTTGAGCCGTAGCCCCGCCAACTGCCTCAGTGTTCCTGCCCAAACTCAAGTCGTTCCAGTGGCTCGGCAAATACAGGAGAATAAAGCATCTGTCCCTCTTTCTGGATGAGACCATGAACCTAAGAACAATCCGTGATATCAGGCCATGGTTTCTCGGTCCCTGCACTACTGATATTTGGGGCCAGATTACTGGGCGTGGGGGTGAGTGTGCCTGTGGTGGAGAGTGTTTAGCAGCATCCTGGCTTCTGCTCACTAGATACTCACAGCAGCCCCCAGGTGTGACAATCAGAGATGTCTCCAAACATTGCCACATGTCCCCTGGGTGACAAAGGAACCTCTGACTGAGATATTGTCTTGGGCTGAGGGGCAGTCACTGCTTTTGCTCACAGCTACAGGATCTAGTTCTGAGTTCCAGAAAAATAGGAGATATCACAGGCAAGACCTCAATGCCATGTCACATCGTCTTTTGGTGCAAGGCCAGCACAAGTGTCCCCATTGTACACGTGAGGAACCGGAGGCCTGGGTCACACAGCGAGCAAGGAGCTGGGTCTGGACCCAAGCCTGTCTGGTGACAAAGCATGTGTATGTGTGTTCTGACACTGCTCGGGACCTGGTCCCGGAAGGAACATGGTGAGGGGTTTCCTGGGGTGCAGAAAGGTTTGCCGTGATCCACCTTAGTGAGGAAAACAAAACAGAACTGGAGATTTTACCTGCCCTTCCCTCGGAAGGTTCTACCCAGTCCTGTCAGCAGCAGTGCTTCCAGTTAAACATTGCTCCCCCGTTTTACAGATGGGGAAAGGGAGGCCCAGCGAGGCCAACAAGTGGTGTGAAATCAGCGTAGCCAAGTGTCTCTGTGTTCCGACCTTTGACTTGTCAACAACTTCTCCAAAGTGGGGGGCTGCCCCCCAACAGGGAAGCAGAGTCTCATTCCCTACACCATCCTCCCTATCTCTAACCAGTGTGCTCTGTAGACAGCAACAAAGGCTCACTGGTAAGTGAGACTAACGCCCTCCCCACCCCTGTCTTTGGCTCTCCCTGTGCCCTCCGTCCCAGCTGTGCATGCAGTACTGGCCTGAGAAGACCTCCGGGTGCTACGGGCCCATCCAGGTGGAGTTCGTCTCCGCAGACATCGACGAGGACATCATCCACAGGATATTCCGCATCTGCAACATGGCTCGGGTAAGTGGAGGGCCGCCAGCGCTTCCCACACGCCTCCCCTCGCCCCACCAGACAGATGGAGGCTGCCGGGAGAGGAGCCTCCCCCCGGCCGGGAGCCTGTGCGGAGCTCTCCGGATCTGCTCGTCCTCGGGGAAGTCATGCCGCTGCCGATTCCGGCTCCAGATCCAGCCATGGCTGCGACACGCAGAGACGCACGGGGTGACATCCCGCCCGCCATCTGCCTATTTCCTGACACGCTTGCTGCCATGTAGACTAAACTTCTCAGAAATTACCGCTTTCCCACTGAGTCCCGCTGTTTTGGCATGAGATGCTGCTGCCTTTGATTGGCTCCAGCGAGCTCTGGGCTAGACCCTGGGAACCACACCAAAGTGAAAAGTCGTTGCTTCCAAGAGGAAATTCACTGGCTGGGTGGAGGAGTATTAGGGGGGTTGGGGAGCAGATTAGTAAACTACGAAATGGCAGCTGACTCAAGTGACTTTGGTCGTTACTGGGGCCCAGGGTGAACCGAACGCAGCCCTTGCCCTCAGAATTCACTGTCTACTGGGGAACTGAGGCATACTCTGGCACATGAACTTCAGGGAGAGAGATGAATTCCGCCTGGTAGCGCCAGGGAAGGCTTTTCCTGAAGAGTGGGACCTTTGAATTGGGTTTTGAAGACTGAGTATGAGTTTTCCAGGGTGAGAGGGGGTACAGGGCAGTCACGGCAGGAGAATTGGCGTGCGCAAAGGTAGAGAGATAAGGAGAGTGTCTGTGATTCATTCATTGTTGACAGCAGGGCTCAGACCTCGTTTAGTCTGCCTTCCTCTGCGATGCCGCAGCCCCCAGGGCATCGGGAGGGCCTGCACGGCGCCCACACACCCAGCCGAGCAGCCCTGACGGCCTCTCTGTCTCCAGCCGCAGGACGGGTACCGTATAGTCCAGCACCTGCAGTACATCGGCTGGCCCGCCTACCGGGACACGCCGCCCTCCAAGCGCTCTCTGCTCAAGGTGGTGCGGCGGCTGGAGAAGTGGCAGGAGCAGTACGACGGGCGGGAGGGGCGCACAGTGGTCCACTGCCTGTGAGTACTGCACCCACCGTGGAGGGGTCTCCGGGGACACGGGGTGGGGTGGGGGGTCCTAGGCGCTCCTGGCTGTACGCATCTCAACACCTCTTAAAGGCCAATGGGGGTGTAGTCAGGAATCACACCCTGTAATGGCCTGGGGATGCCAGTGAGTTGCCCTGAACTAATGTTATACGACATATTTATCGGTGCACAGCTGGGTGGCCTTTCCACAAACAGGGTGGGCGGACCACACCCCAATGCTCCCAAGGGGGAGAGAAGCCCCGCCCTCCAACTGGAGGCGCCATGTGCCCCGCCAGACCCAAGAAAGCTCAGGATGCAGTGGGTCCCTCCGACCAGATCTGCCTCTGTTCTTTCCCGAAGAAGAAAAAGAAGAAAGGGGAATGGGTTAATGACATGAGCTTAATGTCAAGCAATTAAAATGAATCACCTCAGTCCATCGATGAGGTGGGCTTTGTTGTGTTACAGTGAGAAAGTGGAGGCACAGACAGGGTGAGCCATTGGGCAGTGGAGAGAGGAGCTTTGATTCCCACCAGCCGGCTCCCCAGCTCGTGTGTCGTCCGTTCACCCATGCTGCCTCCGAGTCACCCAAGGCCCCTCCCCGAGGCTAGAGCACGTCTTCCCAGGGCACAGGGGGCTCAGGTCGGCCGTGCTACACCTCCGTTACGGGGTGAAATGGAACCTTCACCTCTGATCTTAGAACAGCAATACCTGGACACGGGGATTCCCAAACAGACCCCGATGTCATTACGCAGGGGGGCGGTCAGGACCCTTGGCGGACTGTGGCTGACAAGCTATCATCAAGGAAACCATGCATTTTGCGGGCCTCCGTTTCCTCAGCTGTCCAATGGGCATGCTGAGTCAGGTCATCTTAAGACCCTGTGGTACTGTGAAATATTTAGAAAATAAACACAATTTGTCTACCAACATGCAGATCTATGGTATCATGGTAGCGAATATGCAAATGTTCCCAGTGTAATTGCTCCAGAGAGCCTGTGTCCGAGTCCATCATAGGAATAGGAAGGGATCTCAGAGAAGGATCCCACGGAGACCTCAGACCCAAGACACATCGGAGCCATGACAGCTGGGTGGGGGGCATTTGATTGACTGCCGTTCACCCTGCTTCCTGGGCGTTACAATCTTCTGGGGAGACACGACTGAGAAGACCTCCCTCTTTGCAACGTTGTGTGAAGGGAAGATTGGACCAGCGCCCTCCCTTCTTCAGAATAAGCTAGCAGAGGTGTTAACAGCAGCTACTGACCTCAGAGCTGAGTCGCCTTTCAAAACCAGCTGACTGTTCTCCTCTTTCAGAAAGGTGGTGCACACACGTCAGAAAAATCAGAAAGCTTAAGGGGAGTTGAACACACATACACACACACAGCCCAAGGACCAACACCTGTAGCCATCCGCCTTCCCAGAGGATGCAGGCCACAGACTGGAATCCGGGGAGATGTCATGAGGTGTCACATGTCACGTTGGTGGGTGACATCACAGCCAAGCTGGGCTGGCCCAGCCCGCATCCCAGAAACCGGCAGCTGCTCCCTGCCAGCTGACCCTGCTCCCTTCAGCTCCCTCCCACACACTCAGGCGGCCGCCCCTTCGGCACAGAGCCATGCCCACCCTGCCAGGGTCTCACTCCACTGGGCCCGAGATGCCTGTGTCCACCCCCCTCTTCCTTTCGCACTCTGCTCTCCTTGCTCCAGAAAAAACAAGCCCTCCTGCTCTTTGCCATTTTGGTTGGTTCTTAACTGCCCTTCGGCAGCATCCCATTTTATCCATGGCTCCCACAGCCAAGGTGACCAGCAGTTTGAACCAAAGGAAGCACAGGGGCGTCCTTCTATCAACAGGGACCTTGGCATCCCTGGGAGCCAGAGACACCAAAACAGACACTGAAATGCAGGCGCTGGCCAGTGAATGGAGGGCAACCGTCTGTACTGGAGACATCTGGTCGTCGGATGTCCTGTAGATGAAACATCTGGGAGACTGGCTGAGTGCCTTCGTTCCTGTCCAGATGTTCTTTAGACACAGACCATTACGTGAAATCATTAGTTTCTGTTGGCAGCACGCCCAGGAGCTCCGAATCCGGCAGACTCCAAAGGGGACTTTCTGTAAAGACAGGGCGGGTGTTTCCACGAAGATGGCTGTGGGGCATCAGAAAGAAGGCGGGGCGGGGAGATGACCCTGCCAGGAGCCCTCTGTCCCTACACTCCACGTCTGCAGGGTCTTGCTTAAACCCAAGTGTACAGATAGGGCCTTGTCACCTCAGGGTACAACATCTCAGGCCCGCCCAAGCCCTCACCCCCATAAAAAATCTAGGCTGGCTCACCCTAGCTGAGACAGGTCTGTGGTATGGCTCTCCCTAGCGGATGGGGAAAAGTCAGGGGGAAATCACATACAGCCTTCCACTGTCTTCACGGGATGTGCAGGCGGACCCAGAACATCCTTTGGACAAGGATGCAGACACCACATGTATAACGGCACCCTGTCTGGCCTGAGGGCTCAGTGTACCATGGGTGACTACAACATGCTCGCAGAAGCGAGGAAGCATCAAGCTAATTGAACCCTCCAAGGTCATCTAGTCCGACCCCTCCGTTTTATGAATGGCACCATTGGGGCTCAGCCCCAGAAACTGGCTTATCCAAGGTCAGAGCAGGTTCCTGGGACTCAAACCATAACACAGGGCTCGGGCTAAGGCTTTCTCCGTTGCCTCACCTTGCCGATGGCCAGGCAGCCGGTCCCCGCCACTGCGGGTGTGGCTTTGGGGTCATCGGCATGTTGGGGCTTCCAGGACTCCGGCTCACCTCCTCACTCTGTGTCCAGAAACGGGGGAGGCCGCAGCGGGACCTTCTGCGCCATCTGCAGTGTGTGTGAGATGATCCAGCAGCAAAACATCATCGACGTGTTCCACATCGTGAAGACGCTGCGGAACAACAAGTCCAACATGGTGGAGACGCTGGTGAGTGTCCCAAGCACCGTCCTCCAACGGCCCGGGGGACAACCCTAGCTCCCTGGGCCTGAGGACAAGAGCGTCAAATAGTAAAATCGCTCAGGGACGGGATGCGTGCTGAGCACCCACGGCCCACGTCCTCTGCACGCACCGCCCTCTGCTGCTGCCCTCCCTCCCTCCAGGCCTCGCCGACCTCTCTTGCCTGCAGAGCAGCCCGCACGTCAGTCCTGATGCACCCCATTTGGCTTTACTTTCTGCACTTCCTTTAGTAAAGTGTCGATAATTCAGGCTGAGGGGAAGGGCTTCTGGATTAGGAGAATGTGATTATGTTTTCGCTTGAGTCCAGTCCTGTTCTAACGAACATATGCTGATTTTTATAGTATGCAGCACTGGGGTTAGGACCCCGGAGAAGGGGTGGAAAGAGGCTGGGCAGGCAGAGCCCCTGCTGGTAAGACCCAGTGCAATGACGGGGACAGACCGGACATAGGGACCGCAGTATGCATCTCTAAGGATGGTCCTCCTCAGAGCCCACTCTGCAGACCAGCAGTCTTAGCACCATGGGAGCTGAGTAGAAATGCAGCTCCTTGAGCCCCGCCCCAGAACTACTGAGCCGGAATCCACATGGATAATTCGGAGTTGACTCTCAGCACAGATGTAGATGAAGTTCTCTCCAAAATCTGTGCCTCTAATCGTATTTTCCCTTTCCTCTCCCCCCTCCCTGTCTGCCTGTCCTCCCCTCAGGAACAGTATAAATTTGTATACGAGGTGGCACTGGAATATTTAAGCTCCTTTTAGCCTGACGGGACGGGGAACCTGCCGGAGTCCCGAGGCCGCTGCCCTCACGCCCCCTTTCCTGTGATGGCAGCCACTGGGCTCAGGGGCTGAGAGGCGGCGCCCTGCCCAGCGCAAGGAGAAGACTGGAGGTCCCGTGTTCCGTGGCGGGCTCTGCACCTTCCCGGGGGCCTCCTGCAGCTGCGGCAGGTGCAGCTCTAAAAGGCCCAGGCTTCCCTGGCACGCCCTACCAGCCACAGACACAGACCCGCACACCAGTGTCCCCATAACAAGGCCCCGGACTTCCCGGCTCCCCGACCTCTTGCTTTTGCTCTTTCCGAGTGTGTGACCCTCACAGCCAGCCGACGGCGCAGGTGCCGGGAGGGGCAGGCTCGGCAGCACCTCCCCGGCCCTGCGTCTCCTGGGGAGTGGAGCAGGTGTACCTCCTACTCCACACTGTCATGGCGATGATTGGGCCCTTGGGGTCCCGGCCCTACTGCCCTCTGCAGTCTCTTTCAGTGCCCTCTGGCACCAGACACCTGGACCCTGTGACCTGGGGGTGTCCCGAGAGCACAGCGGAGGCCCCCATCCTGTCACCTAACCTGCATGGAGCTTGGCCCACTAGCATTCCGCACCCCTCCCCCAGCCTGGGCCTTGACCTTCTCCCCTCCTCACTGGCCAGCCTGCTGGGTCCACAGCACTCTCGGATAAAGGTTTTCTCTGCTTGTTCGTGGTCAGTGGGAGGGGGTGGACCCGCAGGAAGCCTGGCTCCTCCTCGTCTTCCTGCACAGGGGCCGCCGCTCTGGGGCAGGGCTCTCACGGACCCTTGGGTGGCAGCTCCTTCGGGAGGGACGACAGGATAAGATTTGATTATTTTCCAAAGTATATATTAAAAGAAACTTTCTTTGGGGGGATGTAAAATCTAAGTCTCTTATGTTAAAAAAAAAGCAGGGAAGGTGGTTTGTTTGTGCAGCTGTAAGACAAGTCTCTCAGGCCTGTGATGGTGGGTCAGTGTCCTCGAAGGTCCCACTCGGGGACAGCACAGCCACTGAGCGGGGCGAAGCCGGACGGGGCTGACGACAGCTCCCCAGTTTCTGGGGCAGATCAGGTACCAGCTTTCAGCATCACCTTGGGTATCCAAACTCGAGCTGCTTCCTGGGAAACCCAGCTGGTATCTTGAAAGTGGCCGGTGCACCAAGGTCTGCTTTGGTTCAAAACAGGCCCGGGGCTCTCGGCTGGAAAGCTAGGGTCTTGCCCGAAGTGTGGGTGGCAGGGAACCAACACCCACTGTATGCCAGGCGCGACACCCTCCCCGTGGCTCCTTACTCACCCTTAGAGCCCACATGGGAGAGCCCGGAACCTTCCATTAGCTCCACGTGACACCTGAGGAAACGGAGGCTTCTTCCTCAGGGATGAGGTTCTGGGTTCCAAAAAGGTAGATAATGGCGATAAGGCTTAATTTCTCCTTGTTTCCTTCATCCTTTCTCAGCCAAGCAGTTATTTTATGGAGGGGAAATAAGACCAGACACTTCTGAGCAGAGAACTCCGCAAACGGAAGCGCAATTCATCCTTTCTGACGCCAGGTCTGCTGGGAGGCGCGGGGTTTCTGGCGGATTTTCGTCCCTCACTCCCGGCTCCCCGGGAGAACTGGTCTCATCTAACAACTTCTTAGCCAGTGGAAACCATCCCCTGCCCATGCAGACAATGAGCTCTGTCAGCGGCCTCTTGCAGGCACTTTGGCTCCGTATCAGACAGCCCCAGGGTGGCCTGGGAGGGGGCAGCTCCAACTTGAAGCTGGTCCCCCTCCAGACAGGGCCCGAGGAGCACAGAACCCAATCGGCGCAGTGTCCTCCCTTACCGTGCGCTGGGGAGAGAGAACCACCGTGCCGCGTAAGAGTGTCACAGGAGCCGAGGAGCAAGGGAGACTCCGCCTAGGGCTTCCAAGAGCACATGACATCTCCCCCCAAAAAAGGAAGGAAAGGAAATTCAGGCCAAGGGAGCAGCATGGGCAGTGGCCAGGAGGCACGAAAAATCCCGAGGGCGGGTGCGGGTGCGGGGTCAGGGGCAGCATGTGGGGGAGGTCGGTGCTCCTGGAAGACGGGAGAGGCGCCGAGGTCAGGGAGACAAACGCCTTGCCGACAGTGCCAGCTCTGCCCCGTGGGCCACAGGGAGCTTGGGGGGGATGCGCTTGGCTCGGTGTTGGAGGAGGTCCCTCTGGGGCCGGGGCGCCGCCTCTCTCCCCCTCATCAGACACTGTGAAAACATTCCCTTCAGCGTGTACTCTTCAATATCACAGCTATTTGTCTGTCTGCTCATTATTTTGTTGCTGGAACAAAATACTCAGTGCATCAGGAGATTCTGCTTCTGCGAGAGACTCGGGGTCTCTGCGCTGCCACGGAGCAGGGTGACCGAGCCGGAGCCCATGAGAGGGGACATGAAAGGGGACCGTAGAAACCACTCCCATCGGCATGGGCTCGGGAGCTGTCTGGAAGTCCAGGGACACCAGACTTGATCAAGGGAGGGCTGTCACTTTGGAGGTTCAAAAGGAAGCATCTCAAAGCAAAAGGAGGCAAAAGAGCCCCACGACCAACCAAGTCCTCTGCTTTCATGCGCCCCTTCCCTGGTGAGGCGGCTGGTCCCCAGGCTCAGCGCCTGCTGGTCCCTCTGGCGCCCTGGGCTCCCATCCACAGCTCTGGCGGCATTCCCCCAGCCTTCAAAGAGCCTAGGGCAGAGCAAGTCACCCCATTATCCGCTCTGTTCTCAGATGTGGGTTCCTCCGCACCGAGTGAGGAGGTGAGGCTACCTAACACGCACCCTGGGATTTCCTCTGCTGGGGAAGGGGCACAATGGCTGGCAGATAAAAAATGACAGTGACTTTTATCCTTTCAAATTGTAGGAATTTAAAGTGTGACTTTAGGGAGAAGGGAAATTATAGAAATTCAGGCCATGGCGGGGTAACCCAAGGGCCAGCGATGGTTCTCGAAGCTTGTCCCTTCATTTCCTCCCAACACAACCACCTTCCCAGACGCCAGGGCGGTGAACAGGTCTCAGGTCAGTTTGCAAGGAAGAAACTAAGGCTCATGGGAGGGTGGGGGGAGGCGGGGAGATGCCCTCCTTGAGCTCCCACATGGGAAATACATGGCAGGGCCTGGATGAGATGGGGCACTGGTGCCCAAGAATCTGAACTGGATCAGTCACCACCTCCCCCAAGATATCTTCCCACCCTCCCCCCACTCCCCTGCCCACGCACTTCCAGGGCGGGCTCACCTTTATGGATGCAGAGGAAAATAGTGCAAATGCTCTCTGAGTCTCCCAGCTGGCACTAGCCCCATGTCTCTGGAGGGCCAAAGAGGGTGCTCTCACCTAGCACAAAGCCTCATGGTTCTCAGGTTCCAGTTCAGGACCCTGCTTGGAGAAGAGGCGGGGTATTAAGGAGACGCCAGGGCCCTCCCCACTGGTGTGTGTTATGATGTCAGTAGCTTCAGGAGGTGTCTTCTCACTCTTCCATGAAGACCCTGGGTTGCCCAGGGGCCTTGGCGCCTCTAGAGGCCCCAGCATGCCTCCTTTTGGGGGAACAGCAGGAATCGGCTGGCTTGTAGGCTGGCCCTCTCTCTGGGTGAGACCCGAGCGATAGCCTGCCAGATGTCGGCCGTCACATGGAACCAGCAGGCCCTGTGCTGGGGACTGCCACAGGTGAGCTCACTGAATCCTTTCCACAGTCCTAAGAAGCGTTTGTGATTGTCACCAGAGAAGAGAAGTCATTTGCCCACAGTCCCACAGCTAGTAAAGGGAGAGCCAGGGTATAAATTGGTTCTTATTTTCCTGTCATTCTGTCAGATTTTCCCATAACCGCAGAGACTAGGATGAAACAAGTAGCCTGATGGGTCTTGTAAAGCCCAAAGCGGACCAGGGTAAATGCAAACTTTCTCACAGTTCCATGTTTTTACTTTAACAATTCACACAATATTTGCATTCCACTATAATTTCGCCCAATTTAATATGACTGTAAATATTTTTTAACCACATGCCCTGTCCCTCATGTGGCGTGGACCCCCTCAGCTCGCTATGCTGAGCCCTACGGGGTTATATCCTAGTTTGAGGGTCACAACGCCTGGCCAATCTGCTTCCTCCGGAGACCAATTCCAGACCCACGTTCAAGTCCAGCTCACCTTCCCCTCAGCAGATCCTCTGGTGTGGGGCTACCCTGACCTCGCTGTTCATGGTTGATCTCAGTTCAAGTCTCCTCCAGTTGGATGCTGGAAAGAGCCCACCGACACACACCAGGATGATGGAGACATGCCCTCTGGTGTGGCGAAAGATGAGCCCATAAATCCCCAAAAGGGAAAGGAGAAGATGGACACGGCCCTACTCAGCAGATTCCTGAATGCTGGGACTTCTAGAAGATAGTGCCCTTTGTCCAGGTAGAGTCCAGCATGGTTGCTGTTGTGGGCAGCTCTGAGGACACACTGCACATGAGCGTCTGGGGTCAGGAAGGTGCATCGCTTTGCTTCAACCACACATGTTTCCTGGGTTCCCATGATGCCCCGGGCCCTCCCTCGAGGGGCCGCTACCAGGAAGCACAGGTTACTATGGAACAGTTCATCTACTTCTTGGCTATAGAATGTTGGGCCAACCAGTTAATGGGAAAAGATATGAAAAGAAGAGCCTTGGCCAAGTAGGAGAGATTTGGAAAGCTTCAGAAAGAAAAATAGGAAGGCAAGGCCAAGAAGTTGGGACCCAAAAGGAATACTCAGAATCAAGGGTGCACGGGGACGGCTGGACAAAGTGGTCACTTCTCTGACACAACAGGACAGGGGGGTGGGGGAGGACTGGTCAGAACCACCTGGAGCAAGGATGTTGCCTTACGATAAGTCTCAGTGTCTTAGAGCAAAGATGATCATTTTCCTTCTGACCAGTCATGTTTATGCATCATCCATTCCCTGTAGCTCAGCTAGCTCTTGCTGTGTGTCCTCACCAGGACCCACCTCTCCCCAGCTCTGGGTGAGTGCCTGCTGTGTGCAAAGAGCTGTCAGTCTAGCAAGGCTGCTGCAGACAGCGGAAGTGAGGCCTGGGGGCAGCAGCCCAGCACTTACCATGTCATCTCCAGCAGGAACTGCCCAGCCCAGATCCACAGACACTGAAGGAGAGTGAGAAGTCTGTGCCTCGCTACCTTAGAACAGAATGAGGAAAGCCACACCCCCTTAGCCTGCATCTGGCCACTCCGGGCTGGACAGACAGGCCATCACCACCCAGATGAGTCAGAAGTAATGTCATGGAACACACAGGAGATTCCCAGGGTAAAATGAGCAGGGTGTTAATCCTCAGCCATGAGGCCAACAGACTATATTGGCCCAGCATCCTTAGGGACAAATGGACAACCCAAGCGGTGGGGCAGTTCAGAAGATGAGACATGGTCATTTCATCTCAAACCCCAGACTTGCCTTCCTCATCGTCTGGCTACCCTGAGCTCCTCCACCCACGATGCCAGCTCCAAATCACAGCCAGGTAAAACAGGGAAATAGGGAAAGCAAACCCAATGAGAGGGGACCAGCTGAGATTCAGCCATTTCCTGATTCCCATTCTAGGGTTCCATTTCAGAGGGTTTTCTGTGTTCACTTATCTAGAAGTGACAGAAGGCAGGGCCTTGCCTTCCCCTACCAGACACCTGCCTTGAGGTCAAACACTGTTTGAGCAGCAGGGAGAGAAGTCAGTGGCAGAGAATGGAAGGGGCTCCAGTTTCCTCTGACACAAATTTCGGGCTCATGGACACAACCCTTAGAAGCACAGAAAAGGTACCGCAGCCTCATTTGTGCGCATGAGCAGACTCTCTTCCGGTTTATCAGTAACCAGCGGTAGACTTTGGCAGGGCGTTGGCATTGGCTGGCTGTATGACCATCTTGTAGAGACCAAGACCATCTCCTGTATTCCTGCTGCCTGCCTCCAGAAGAGGCAGGAAAAGTTCATCAGAGAGACCACATTCACCCCCTAGAAGCCATTCCATGAATGTTAGATCCCCACGGGGAGTAGTCAATGCCCACAATGGTAGACCCCAGGTCTGACATCTTAGTTATCTAAGAGGTTGGGGGTAGCCCATTGGGCCTGATTCAAGAGGTGTGGGAGGACTTGGGATGGCAGAGGATCCATAGGGAAGAGCTATAGGGGCTGGATTGCCAGGGAACATCCTGCTGGATCTGAGAGCTGCCATGTGGGGTGGAACCCGAATCCTGATCCTTGGTTGGATTATGTGGAGAATGAGGGTCTGGGGGCCTTAAAGTGTTGGAAAGGAAGGCATTGGTATGAAGGGTGGAGCTCATGGTAATTACTATAATTCATGGCTCTTTGGTGAGTGGCACTCTTAGATCTGGGGGAGGAGGGGCATGTGAAGTAACCCACCAAAACTGCAACACTGAGTCCCTGCACATGTTCCTCAGTGCCTTTGGGCTTGTGAGTACGAATCAGCGAGCCCCTCCAGTGATGGTTCGACAAACTCTCAGTGCCTACCATGCCCCACCCTCCCGTGGAGAATTAACGATATAAGCTGTTCCTTGAGTCAAAGCCCCCAGGGCAGTCAGGAGGCTCAGAGGGCAAGGTGGTGTCATCCCAGGTCAAATCAGCCTTCAGAAGAGTCAGACACAATCCCAGTGCCCACATCCTCCATCGGCCTGTAGGGTGTCAGAAAACTCAAGCACAGTTTGCTAGTCCCAGGCCACTCCCATGAGTGGAACTAGGATCAATGGGTGAAACTGAATAGCTACAAGGACAAACTCTCTGTCTGCCAGAGAGGATGAGCTGCCCATCTCAGCAGCGGTCCAGCAGAAGCCTGACTCTCTTTAAAGGGAAGCAGGAGCATTGCTGAAATGGCCTTTAAGTTGCTTCCCCCATGAGTGGGTGAGATCTTCTGGAACTGGGATCATGTTTGAACTCTTTCATTCCTGCAGAGCACAAAGCCAAACATGTTGTGCTTGGTTTATGCAGGCGCAAGCTCCTTGCTCCCCTGTCTGAATCTCCCCACCACA